TTGGCATTGGAATCCATGATTGCAGTTTCATTTCATTTGCTTCTAAAGCCTGGCTTCTTCCTGTTGGGGTTTCCTTGAGACAGTCCTATAATCAACTCCTGCAATCATATTGGAAAGCTGGCTCAGATGAATTACTATTGAGAACTAATATAGGGAACGCTCTATCCGAATCTGCTATGTGCCCACTTATCGTGTGGTGGAATCTCATGTGTCTCTTACTTCTCTACTTGGGGCCCTTTGACCTTTTGCTGAGCACCTGAGACGGAGAACAGAATAGGTTGGTTTGAATATTCAGTATGCCAAGTGGATAGAACAGTGAGAGTCTGCAATCTTGAGTTTTGACTCCTCAGTTTCTCCCTTAATTTGTGAAATTTCCATCAACTGTGGCCACTTCTATCATGTTGGAAGAGTCTCCTGCATTCTGAGGTAGACATACCTTGAATTTCAACTTAGTTCACTGCCTAATGTTTAGCTAGATACTTTGGTGACAAGATATTCATATTAGAGGAAGTTCCCTTAATTTCTGAAACTTTTTATGTGTACGTGTGTGTGTGTGTGTGTGTGTTTGTTCTTGTTGTAAGACTATATACACAGTCCCCAAAAAGCCCAGGTTCTACAAAATCAAGCACTACAGATAATACTGCTTATAAATAAGATAAGATTGGGGAAAAAATCACTCAAAAGCCCAAAAGACCTGTGGAACTTTGTAACTAGAGCACTAGCAAAAGCAATAACAATCCTTATAGTATTATTATGGCAGATAAATCTCTAAACAGTATTTGTACCTAGGACCAAAGTAAATCCACTATAGCCTTAAGCCTAAAGCTTATGCTTCCTCATTCAAGATATAGTCTTGGAGGACATTTAATTCTCTATTAAGAGACTATTTTCATATAAATTTAAAATCTGATCCAGGCGATAACTGTCTTCCTCAACCATTGTTTTAGTATGGAGAAGTATTTTTGCAGCTTCTCCATCTATAATCACAGCCTTGCCAGGTAGCTTAACTCATGGAGAACCCAGTGCTTTGTGATGCCAGTTAATCAGCTACCACCTGCACTAATTTTAGTGCACTTGTGTAGACTTTCAGCATTTTTCTTGTGGTTTTCAGATGTTGCTAGAGCCCTTTTCCTTAATTTGAGAGTTTATCCTTATTACTTCAAAACATGAATGTGTTGGGAAAAATCCCAAATGATCTTGTAGGACTTTCTGCCAATATCATTCCACCTACCCATCATGTATGAGGTAATTACCTCAAAGTAGTAGAACCAACTTTAGTTGTATATATTTCTCTGAGGCTACAAAGAGTTTGTCTTTAGACTTCAATAGTCCCTGGTGGAAACCTGCTTAGAGAAAAACCAAAACAGAAACAAATACCCTCCTGAGCAGAGTAATTATCTTGAACTCCGGCCAATTGCTTGATTGGTAGCTGTTTGAAGCAAGGTGTGGTTAATCTTTCCAACCCCACATTCACATCTCTAGGCATTGTCTCTCCAGAGTTGGTATTCACATTTCCTGCTAGAATTTCCTCCATTTAGCTGATTCTCTATAATATCACATTGTGTCCCCAAGCTGGAAACTGCTTGTTGTTCTTGGTATCCTTTGTCAATCTCAACCGAAGTTTATTGTGTCTTGTTGCTATTCTTTGTGGATTCTTAACAGGAGTTTTTAGTTTCCCTTACTAGGGGTGGAGTTTTATTTTGTTTTGTTTTTAAGATTTTATTTATTTATTTTGTCAGAGGGAGAGAGAGAGAGAACAAGAGGGGGAGCTGTAGGCAGAGCAGGCAGAGGGAGGATCAGGCTCCCCACTGTGCAGGGAGCCCAATGCAGGACTCTATCCCAGGAGCCCAGGATCATGACCTGAGCCGAGGGCAGACACTTAACCGACTGAGCCACCCAGGAGTCCCTGGAGTTTTGTTTTCTATTCACAACTTTTTATTTTCATTTTCACCAGTGAATTTTCTAATTTTTCTCTTGTAAAGATTTTTCCCATTGATCATATGAGTGCTTTATGTAAAGATCAGTAACTCATTGTCGTGTATTTTGTCAATATTGTCTCTCAATTTGCTCTTTATTTTTGAACAAACATGTACCCTGAACACCTTTACTCTGGGATTTCCATGACCATTTGGCCGTTTGGCTTCTGTTACTTACTAGCTGCCAGCCCTAGTTCCTCCTATCCTAATTGTAACCAATAACACAATTTAAGTTTTACCCTTCTTGCTGCCTGCCTTTAGCTAAGCCAGGGCATACCTATAAGCCTGACTTTTTATCAGTAAAGACCCTCTTTAATCATAGAGTCTCTGGCATTCTGGAAATCCCACAATTTGTAAACATATCTGTTTCCGCAGCTAGTTTTCAGTAGTCCCAAACCGAAGGCTACAAGCAGCAGGGACTTCTGGCTGCAGTGATGCAGACAAGCCCTGGAGTTCTATCTCCTCCTGCTCAATTACTTTGGAGCTAGGATCTATTTTTTCTACAACATACCTTCCAAGGGCCACCATGTATGCTAGTGTACTTAAATGGCTGGTTTCTATTTTACCTAGACTGTAAGAGAGATCAGAGATCTGTTTTTCCTGCATGGCTTCACCCCTTGGAATCACTCTAAAGTTACAAGACTCCAAGCTCTTTATTAACTATAATGTCTGAATCATAAGAATCAGAAGTGGTAACAATTTATCACCTGAAAGCTTGGACTGTTTACTTTCCAAATCAGATTAGGCAAATGTCTTATGTCTCCCTACATTATCTCAGAGGCACACCTAGGGTATATGAGGCTCTGGTTAATATTTTTTGTGGGACCCTATCCTATTTAAAAAAAATTGATTTAAAATGTTGGCAGGAGCTCCCCTCTACTTGCTAGATGGAATGCTGCCCCGTTCATGAATCACTTAATAAATCCAATTAGAAAAATATAAAAAATGAAATGTTTTACAAAATTCATGGGCACATGTGAGGTATGGTGATCTTCCCATAAATATTTTAAATGTGTTGAGAAATAACGCTTAAATAGTTGTTTATTATCCAGTCAAATGCACATAAAAATTCTTCATTCTGAGTGAGTTACCCCAAGTTAGCATGTTAGTACCATTCAGGTTATCCAATTTGTGATTCTACAAAAGCAACATGCCCCATTCAGCAGAAGTGATCTGGTTGCCAGGCTGCCGCCTGGAACTGGGACCCAACCATAAGGACCCAGGAAGCCCCATAAATAAAAGATGGGGAGCATGAGGCATGTTTCTTTTGTGTGTGTGTGTGTGTGTGTGTGGAGAGAGAGAGAGAGAGAGAGCTGGGGAGCTCCTGGGACGTCTTGTCAACCCCACAATAGGACAGAGGATCAAAGAACACTCCCAAAAAGAAGAAACAGGGACCAAGATCCACATGGGTTCTGATCTAGGCTCAGGGCATCTTATCCAGAATAACATTGCCAGTAGTGGCCAGTCCTACACACTGAGTTGTGACTTAGAAAATTTCAAGAAAAGTAATCCAAAGTGTGGAGTCTTATGAGACATATGGCCCAGAGTAGTAATCCACCTGTCTGGGCCAGGGCAGAATTATCCCAGTAAAGACATGCTAAGGATCTATTTCTCCTTGAACTGGTTTAGGGGTTAATGTCTTTCAAGTTTTGGAATCATAAAAATATATAAGTAACCTTAAATAACAGGAGTTTATTAAAGGATGCTGCTGTGTTTTTGCCCCAGGTTTTTGCTATTCTGGTGTCTCCTTCCCTTTTGAGGTGTTGATGCTAGCAATCCTCCCATGCTCTCACTTTATCCCAACCTTCTCAGCCCAAAGCAGAAAAGATCTAATTTGTTCAGTTACTCACCATATACCAATAGATGTTCTGGTTCAGTCACACATGTCCAGTATAACAAGACTGGTCTCCCTACAAGCCCACTGCCATCTTTCTCAAAGGAAACTGTGTACCTAGCAGACACTAGGAGACTTCATGATCTGTCCAGTGCAAGGCTTTAGATACATTTTACCTGACTATCTTTTAAAAGGGTATTCCCAATCTACCTTGCCACCAGAAATGTGTGAGACTGCTTCTCTCTTAGAATATTTGTCAATAGTGAGGAGATCCATCCTTTTATAAATGATCAGCTAAGATGGTAGACAAAAAGGCTAGAATATTGTTTAAATATACAAATGCAATTTCTTAGTAGTAAAATTGACTATTTCACCATATACTTGTTAATCAACTAAATTTTCTTGATGCATAATTTCTTTTGGTCCTTTACTCCTTTATTGATTTAGAACTGAATGTTTTCCACATCCATTTGTATGAGCTAATCATAATTTAAAGATATTGGCCATTTTTTTGCTATATTTATGGTAAGTCTATCCTCCTCCTCCTCTTCTTCTCCTTCTTCTTCTCCCCTTCTTCCTCCTCCTCCTTCTTCTTGCTTTCAAACTTTGGATAAGTTTATCTTTTAATGGATATAATTTCAGAATTTTTCAGATAATCAAAGCTATTAATATTTTTCTTTGTAATTCATTTCATCCCTTTGGCTCTTAAAAAGCATTCCTTTTCTGTTTCATAGATTTGTTAAACATTTTAAATTCCTCTTGTTTTAATATTGCCTGTTTTTAAAATGTTTATTTAAACTCATGGATACAGAGAGCACATTGGTGGTTGCCAGAGGTGGGGGTAGGGTGAAATGGATCGTGGTCAAAAGGTACAAACTTCCAGTTATAAAATAAATAAGTTCTGGGATGTAGTGTACAGCATGATGACTATAGTTGATAATACTGAATTGTATATTTGAAAATATATAATCTAAATTAATATTTTGAACAAAAAAGTACTCATTTCCTATCTGCATTAATAATTGAAACATCTTGTTCCATTTATTTATGGTGTTACTTGTTTTTAGTTACATATTTTTATATAAAATAAAGTTTGTGTCTCAAGAGTAGGTAAAGAATGATCTAGATTGGGCTAAAATACCAAAGTAAATATGAGATATTCATAGGTCACTCAATAAATAAACTGTGAATCAAAATTGACATCAGCTTAATTTTATTTCATAATCAACTAAACATTTCAAATTAAACAGAACTTTAAAAGTTCCTAGTTTTTATCTTAATTTCACATTTTATACGTTGCACAATATTTATAAGATATTCAGTTTGATTGTTTCATAACTTGGGGAGAGGGGTGGCAACAATTCTGCCAGATCATTAAATTCACCAGAAGATTTTTGCTCCCTTTTTCCTAATTTGAGAGATATAAAGCAATTTTTATTCCCAATATAAATTCTAGATAAAAACCATACACTTTGCTTACTTATCATGTTAAATATTAAGGATGACATACAAGCAAAAAGATAGCCTTGTTACTAAGTTAATGTCCTCCTGAAATCTTACGTGGCTATATAACAATTGCTAAATTTGTTAAAAACCAACTTACAACAAATTGGTTATCTTGTGAACTTTTTTTTTTCTTTCTTTCTTTCTTCCTCCTCTTTTCCCTTCTTCCTCCCTTCCTTCCTCTTCTTCTTTTTTTTTTTTTTTTGTTTTCTGGTATATTACATTAGAGAGCATCAATCTGTAGACATCATTAAGAAAAATTGTCCTTGAGGAACAATGGAAAATATATGCTAAATAAAAATATTAAAGAAAATGCTATACACAATCTCTTACTATGTAGAAATTATTACATTCTGATAATATGAACCATACAGATACATTCTGAACCATATTCAGACGCTATTATCTGTGAGCACCGCACTGCAGAAACTAAAATGAGAGTACATTTTTCTTCACTAGAAATCTCAATGTTCAGAGAAGCAAATGAACAGCAACATAAGCTAAATAGTCACTATATCAGATATGAACCACAGGCCTTTTGAATAATACTCCAGTGAATGCGTGTCCTTAAATGAAAAGGGGCAGTCACAGGCATTTGGCCACTGAAGCCCTCCGGTACCCATATTTGGGAATGTACCTTTCTTTATGAGGGTGGCCCTCTGTGGAAGCAGACTCCTTAAGTAACTGTCTGCACCAAGGACCATATGGCATGGTTTAATCATTGTACAAAGACTCTTCATAGAATCTGAGGTTGAAATTCGTAAGAAAGCACACAAGGGATGATGCCTGATGAGTCGATCGAGGAAGGAGAATTCTTCATGGTTATAACATGTATTTCATGACAGTGCTGACCCTTATTTGTTTGTCTGGAAGTTCCAGCAGAAAGTCTCTAGATAAAGTGCTTTCCCAATTGCTAGATTTAGATCTAAGAAATATAATTTATCCCTTAGGAAAAATGTAAGCTCAGTGTTAAAGTTTGTTTTTAGGTCAATGAATTGGATTTGCTGTTGTTGTTTTTCTAACAACATAACTGCAACAGTGAAGAAAAGTTAAATCATCTCAGTAAACCCATGGATTTTGCCTAATGTAGATAACTATTCTTGGGAAAGGCACAAAAATAAGTGTCAAAATTGAAGTGTTCTATAATACCCACAGAGATTCCCTTTCTTTGCTTGGTTCCCACATCTCTCATAAATGAGTGCCATCAAGGAACTTTAAAATCTCTGTTCTGTCATTTTTGTGCTCATATAATCCATTAAAAATCCAGGTTTGTAAGTTGATTCACGTCATTCTGAAGAAAGTAAAATTAAAATTCCTTAGGACAGGTTTATTTTTAAAAAGTGACATAGTGATTTTTTTTCCCTTTATAGTCACATCGGACAGTGAATGAGGATAGTAAACCACAAGTATCTGAAGTTTTAATTTTAGTCTAAAATATATATATGTGCTGTATCACAGCTGAGTCTTAGATAAGAATCACCGTCTTTAACAACCTTCACGTTGAGTACAAAATACATAAATAGATAACTATTTGGGAAATATTACTATTTTGTGAGTCACAAGGAAGGAAAGCATGTATTCAAAGAAAATATGTTTTACATTGTAATGTCCAACTGACTGAGCGTAACTCAGCTTGGAAACTCATTAGCTGTTTGGCCCATGACCTCAAAATTCTGTTTAGCCTATTTGTAATTTTGTGTCAGTAAAAGACAAGTAAAGGAAGAAACAAATTAAAAACCAAAGCACCCTCCTCAGGAATCTGGGAATGCCTTTATAATGGACTCATAGGCAGGTGGAGGTGGTGTGGAAAAGCCCACTCGAAGGCTGTGACTGGACCAGTGGAAATCAGGACGGCCCAGACTGTGCGAAGTGCTGATGGCGGGAACCGTACTGGGAGTGGGCAGAGTCACCAGCTGACTGTCAGTTTCCACCGGAAGTGGGGGACTTTGCAGAAAGGGATGGAAAGTGGAAGCTCTGAAGCTTGATTTTCTTGGAAAGGAATTTGCTTGTTCCAGGGAAGCTTGTCGCTGGAAGGTGAGACTGGCCAGGCTGAGGTTGCTTCGCCGTTCACAGCCACTGTGGCGGTAAAATCCAGTTCTGTTGAGGCCATGGTTGTAAGAAGACCTTGATCGCCGGTTCGAACTCCATTGTGAGATGGGGGCGCTGGCTCTTCTTCGAGACAAACAAACAAACAGAGCCCAAATAAATCCTGCAATTATGAGCACAATTGCAATGGACACTGTGAAGGATGTTATGACATCCTCTGAAACAAACAAACAAACAAAAATCAAATAGGTAATTTAATTTGTAAATAGGTGTTCAATGAAAAACACAGGGCAGAATACAAATAGTAACTATGGAATATGTGATCAATTGAAACAGATTTTGAATTAGGGAAATAAAAGACAGTGCTAGATGCATATGAATATCAGCTGATATGCTTCCATTTATTAAAGCAAAAGGATATAAAATAGCATGTTTAGCTATAGCATCCCCGTTGCTTATGCTATTTTCTCACCTTAAAGAAATAAATGATAAAAATAGTCTTCTTTTCTTTAAAGGCCATTCTTTGGTTCATAAATTTTTATAAGGTTGCAAATATAGTCCAAAGATTATTTCCTTTTGAGTTACAGTGGTAATAATGTGCCAGAAATTGATAAAGGATTTTGTAGTCAAATTGACTTTGCTTTTTCCTCTGTCTGCTTTCATTGACCCCAGTGATGTCTCCCACCTGCTGGTGTCATGATGTCTCACTTCCTGTGCTCCTTCTGAGAGAAGAAGTGCTGAGCTAGAACCATCTGGTGGGCTGACTGATTTATGTTCTGTTTTCCTGAGCTCCAGTACTGTAACCTGTATTTCTGACTCATTGATGACATGACCTATGCAGATTACTGTGCTCTTTCCCACCAGTTCCAGTTCATGCTGCTATCATGCCTTCACTGTGCTAATGAAATTTTTATCCCCTGAATCCATAGAATCTCTGCTATACATCAGTATCCTGCAATTCACAGAACTTGTATTTGTGCAGGATTTCCTGTTCCAGGAGCAGGGGATTGTTTTCCCAAAATGGAAATTCTACCTTATTGCTTCTTGTGAACTGAAAACATATTTTTGAGTAAAGCTGATTAGCAGAGCCCCTGCTCTGAATGTAGAGACACTCTGGATATTAGAAGACCCCTCCAGCCTCATCACCCACCACATTTCTCCACCTTCCACTCCATGATCTAACCCACAAGTCATGTTGATCTTCTCACTATCCCAAATCCTGCCTTTTTCTCCAAAGTTCTGTGCTTTTCCACCTCTTTTTCTTTCTATCTACATAAGTTTTAAATTTCTGTCTGAAAAACCTATTCTTAAAGATTCATTTCAAGTACCGCTTTTTGGATAAAGACTCTTAAGTTTCATAAACAAAAATTAGTTACTGTTAAGTAAAGAGGTAAGCTGTCTTATCAAATTGCTTGTCTAGGGATTCTGTACTGAGAGGGCCATGGATTGGAAATTAGCTAAGTGGGGTTGTGAGAGTGTGAAAACAAGAGAAGGGCTACAAGTACTTTGAAGTTCCTCCCTTCGAGAGGTAGAGTCTCTTTCCCACCCCTCAGAAGCTGCGCTGGCTTCACACCTTGCTTTGACCAATAGGATGGGATGGAAATGAGGCTGTGCAAAATGAAGCCTAAGCTTCAAGAGGTTTCTCAGCTTCTACCCCTGCTGCTCTTGGAAGCCCTGTAACTGCCAGCATCTACAAGCCCAGCCTACTGGTGATGAGAGACACATTGGACCAGTTACCCCTATTGCCCAGGCCAAGAGCCTGCTATCTCCAGACCCATGAATGGGGTCATCCTAGATAATTCAGATGTTAGTTAAACTAACAACTGACTGTGACCCATGAGGGAAGACCAGCAGAAAATCTATTAAGCTGATCCCAGCCCAAACTCCTGACCCTCAGAATTGTGAGCTAAATAAATGATATTTTTAAGCTACTATATTTTGGAGTAGATTGTTAAACAGAAAAAGCTAACCGATTCTGCGTTCTCAACTCAGCTTTATCCCTAACATATTGTGTGATTTTTAAGAAATTTGTTCGGACTCATTAGTTTTTAAATGAAAAAGTTAGGTTTTATGAGTACCAAGGTTTTTTTTTCAGTTTGTTTTTGTAATCTAGGATAATATATAGAAAATCTATAATAGAGAAATAGCAAAACCAACCAATGCTAATAAATACATAAGAATAATCATTGCTCCTTAATTTTAGGATATATTTAGTGTTCTTCCACCTTATATTGTCACATTTATCTCCTATGTCAAGACCATGTGTGTTTAGCTCTACTTTCACAATTACCTTCACAAATGCTTATATCAAAATCCTCTAAAACAGTTGATTATATCAAATCTAAACAATAAATTCCTTACAATAGGAAGATGACTTCTAAATTACAAGATGATTTAGAACAGCTCTGCTAGACCAAGTATTGTTTTTCTAAAATGTGTCTCATAAAAATAATATGGACTTAGCCTTAAAATGCAACCTCTTGAGACAGATTTGAGAGTTAGTCTTTATCTGAAGAAAGCAAATAAACAGTCAGAAACTAAAATCACACTTATTTGTTACATAGTAACATTCAAAATTAACTTGTAACTATCAGTGCTCCAAATATTTGGAACCTAAATAGGAAGTTGTTGGAATTTTGGGTTGCCAAAGCAATGGCAGCCATGCAAATCAGCATTTCCCAACATTTCTTCTGAAAACAAGATGCACAAATAAAACTATACAAAACCTGCCTTCAGCATAATTAGAAGACAAAGAACATCCAAATTTCAAGTTACCTAAAAAGTAAACTGATAAAACAGATACCAGTACATTCTCCCCCTTGCTTCTACCTCAAGTCTTTACTGAGAGGAAAGACAATTCCAGAAAAAGTGTGAAAATACTGAAAAGGTTCTCTGTTCCCTGAGGGCAATGACTATGGTAAAGGGACTTACACATATAGGCAAGAATGTGAAGAGGCAGGCTTGGAAAGTAATCCTTCCCTGAGGAGGAAGAGGATAAAGTATGCAGTCAGAAGATCACATCTTGTAGGATTCCATTTACAGGAAATGTCCAGAACAGGGAAATCTATGGCAATAGTAAGCAGATTAGTGATTGATTGGTGCTGGGGGTGGGGTGGAAGGGAATGGGAGGGGTTGCTAGTGTCCACGGGTTTCTTTTTGAAGGACAGAGTGTTCTCAAATTAGATGGTGTGATGGTCACATAACTCTGTGACTATAACAAAACCATTTAATCGTACCCTTTAAGTGGGTGAATTATATGAGATGTGAATAATAGCTCAATAAAGCTGTTAAAAAGAGAAAAGAAAGAAACGGAGAGGTGCTCTTTGGAAACCACACAATGAAGAAGAGAAGAGGGAAGAGTGAAGGGATCCTTCAAGACAAAAAAATTTAAAAACAAAGGACACATAATTCCTCCCTACCTTCATCCTCTAAAAATAGAAGTCCACCAATGAAAACATCATACCTTGCTACACTGAGGAAATGAGGAATCTAGAATGACTCCTGGGATTCTGGCATGTGCAGGCAAGGGTGGATATTAGTATCATTCATCCAAATGTAAGATTATGGAACAAGGGGAAGTTGGCATTAGGAAGATGCTGAACTTGAGTGCCCCTGAGATACTCATTTGGAAATGGCGTTACATAAATACAGAGCTTAAAGAGAAGCAGAATTGGGACTCTCCGTGCTACAAGAAACTTGCAGCCATCCATGGAAAACACTTTGACTAAAAAGTAAGTGTGCATTTATAGAAGTGAGTTGAGAATAGACTTCCAGGAAAATCACAGTTTAACAGGTGGCAGAAGTAAAAAAGGAAACAAAGAAGGACTAATTTGGGAGTTTTGAGGAGACAAAAAATTACACAACACTGAATCAAAGAAGAGAATTTTAGGTCCAAGTGACTACTGGCTACATGCCCCAGAGACATTTACCTATCCATTTGTTTAACATATAAAGCATCCACTAAATACCAAGTAATGCTAAGTTGATAGGCAAGTCTTAGCTCTGGTGGAGTTTACATTCTACATTCTATAAGACTTCTCTATAGTCTTATATAGACTTATATAGACTTATCTATAAGATAAGAAAAAATGTCCTTTAAATGTCCTTTAAGCTGGACTGTTGTTCACTATGCCAAGAGCAGATTGAGGTCAGATGATGGAAACTCATGAGTGCCTCTCCAGAGAGTTCAGTCTTTCAACCGTGGGCAAGACGAGCAAGAAACAGGCTTGAACAAAGTGACCTAATAGGAAGGACAGAATATAGAGCTAGCAGCAATAAATGGGATAGACCCAGGCCCAGAGCAGGTTGGATAGTGAAACAAGTCTGGACATGCCTGCCATGATTCAGATATGCAGCAGTAGTAAATGGCTTAGTCTGGGAAGTGATGGTAAGAATAGGAAGGAAAAAACTTGGTCATGAGATACCCAAAGTCAAAAGAATCTAAAAATTATTCTAAAGTATTATACCTTCTAATACACTAGAAATTAGACATGGGGTGGGGGAAAGTGGGGTGTAAACTGAGGTTTAGAGGCTTTTGCTCCTAAGATCTCAATTATAATGTTATACTCTAGCAGTAATTTGATGATCAGATTAAATCATAATGTTTTAGGAGAGGTTAAGTATCTGCTCACTTCATGATATTTGCATGCCTTTACTATTTTATGTAAGTTTATGAGAGAATAGATTTGCTCAAATTTTTATTTGTATCATAATCATTAACACTAGATTTCCTTTAAGTTTTGGTCACTTGTAATGGCTACATAAATTCTGTACTTCACTGAAAAATGTTTTAATTGGTTTAGAAAATAAATAAAAATCATGAACTACTCAAATACTTCATAGAACTAAGTCCTGTGTCTTCTTTTCAAATGAGTCCAGGCAGTTTACTAAATTTGGTACTTTGGTTTAAAAAAAAAAAACTAATTTTGGGGCGCTTGGGTAGCTCAGTTGGTTAAGCGTCTGCCTTCGGCTCAGGTCATGATCTCAGGGTCCTGGGATCAAGCCCCGCATCGGGCTCCCTGCTCAGCGGGCTCCCTGCTTGGAGGGGTGCCTGCTTCTCCCTTTCCCGCTTCCCCTGCTTGTGCTCTTTCTCTCTCTCTCTCTGTGTCAAATAAATAAATAAAATCTTTAAAAAAAGAACTACTTTTATCTTATTTCAGTGAGTTTTTGGCAATCTTTGTTTTTGTGAGATGTATTGCATATAATTTGAATAATTCA